GAGTGGCTTATAGACAACTCTGTGAATGTCCTTGAGTGGCCTAGCCACAGCCTGGGATTGAACCCAATCAAATATTTCTGGACTCTGGAGAAACCTGAAAATGTGTGTCTGCCCCCATCCAACCTGACAGAGCTTGAGAGGTGAAGAGGCAAGGAGAAGAATGGCAGATAATTGCCAAATGTTGATGATCAAAGCTTGTCGCATCATACCCAAAAAGATTTGAGGCTGTAATTGGTGCCAATGGTGCTTCCTTCAAGTATTGAGCAAAGGTATTTTTTTTATTGAGCAAAAGTATTTTTTTCATTTTTTTTATAAATTTGCAAAGATTTCAAACAAACTTCTTTCACGTTGTCATTATGGGGTATTGTTTGTAGAATTTTGAGGAAAATAATGAATTTAATCCATTTTGGAATAAGGCTGTAACATAACAAAATGTGGAAAAAGTGAAGCGTTGCGAATACTTTCCGGATGCACTGTAATTCTAGTGTATTTAAAATATTTAATGAAAGAAGTAAACTAATAAATAAGTATATATTTAAAAGTAAAGTTTTTCACTTATATAAGAAATTGAAGTACACTACTGTTTCTAAACTTTGTGGTCTGAATTTTTTTTTTTTTTTTTTTAAATGCTCAGGCTGCATTTATTTATTTACAAATACAGTAAAAACAGCAATATCATGAAACATTACTATTTAAAATAACTGTATTCTATTTGAATGTATTATTAACATTGAAAATAACTTTCCTATCTTAATTTATCTTTAAATGCAATTTACTCCTGCAGTGGAAAATCTGAATTTTCAGCAGCCATTACTCTTCGGTGCCACACAATCCTTTAAAAATCATTCTAATACACCTATTTAATGTTGTTGTAAACATCTGACTCTCTGCATCATGTATTACCTCTGTGAAGTTCACAGATTTCACAATGTGCTTGTGCGCTAGGGTGAGGACCTCATCTCCAGTGACAGCGTCCCATACCTTTCTGTCATATTAAAACAAATAAATAGAAAAAGTAAAATAACATTTCACCAATATTATTTCACCAATTTAATTTTTTGTTACTGCTTGTTCTTACGCTGTAAAATCTGCTGCGGCTGTAGCTGCTTTTGTAGCTTCTTTATTCAAGGTGGCACCCCAGACAGCACCCTTGTGACCCAAGAACGTCCCAATCCAGTCCCCTGTGTCTCCCTGGCGCAACATAGGTTTGCCATCTGCAATTTTGGATTACCAAAACAAACTTTCAGATTTATTTTACAGTCAATTAACCTATAAACAGTCACTTACTTAAATTACTACTCCTATTTACTGTCAAGGGTTGGTTTTAAGATTCAAGAGCACTCCTACCTTTACAAGCGCTAATAAGGAAATATCCATAAGGAGTTATTCCACTGAACGCCAGATCCACAACAGGTCTGGTGTGACCAGAGCAGGTGAGGGGTGTCTGTCTCATAGCCATACTCACTGGAGACCTAAAAGGATGACAGGGCACCTATGGAATTTTACTCAGACACAGCTTAACATGTATTAAAAATCAAGATGATGTCTAGAAACAAGGTATTCTACAGGACAGAACAGATGTGCTGGCTAACACAAGCTTGGCTAGTCAGGAAATCAGTCATTACCTTGCAAAGACAGCAAAACGACACACACCAGTACTTTGTGGCCAGATTACGTGTCGGGAAGGATTGTGGAGCTCAGAGCTGCACTCCCAGCTACAGTGCTGTGCCACCAGCTACACGAGGTGTGTGTGCACGTAAGCTAAACTCGAGCCCTCACTAACGCTACAGGAACATAATGGAAGCGCTAGTGTTCTTCTTCTTGTTAGTTTTATGGCGGATTGCAACCATGACTTATCAGGTGCATACCGCCACCTACTGTATCGGAGTATGCAGCATGGATTATATCTCAGTGAATGCACTTTACATTATATATATATATAACTTTTCTATTCCACAATAAAGGTGTTCTCCTCAACTTTACACTTATGATTGCATGGCTGCTGTGGAGGTGCTGGCCTTCCTGGCTGATATTTCCTTATGTCTGAACTCTGTGGTACTGCATACCTTGCATTGTCATTCAAATTTTCCTTATATTCTATTGGTCTATTTTGTTTGTTTTCATAAATATCAACACCCTTTAATGCCTCTGCATATGTCACCTTATTCATAACCTTGTATCTTTGTACCTCTTTAGCTTGTTTCTGAACCACACATCCAGCATATGCAGCACTATGCTCACCTCCACAATTGCAGCATTTTAGCTTAGCATCCTTTTTACATTTACCATAGTCATGTTCTCCTCCACATTTCGCACATCTTTGTCTCCATTTACACTGTTGTGCTGTATGTCCCATTCTCTGACATTTGAAGCACCTTAACGGTTGTGGAATGTATTCCCTCACTTTGTATTTGATCCAACCCATTTGGACTTCAGTAGGCATTATCTTTTCAAAAACAAGCAGTACAGACAGGCTATCTGATTTAACACCACCTTTATTAATGTGGAATCTTTCGGCTTCTGTTACATTCCCACCTTGTATCTCATTCTTCACATCTTCCATGGACATTTCCAGAGGCACATTTGAAATCACTCCTCTTAACTTTGCTGCCATTCCTGGTACATGCACTTTAATCTTTCCACCACCAAGGCTACTCATTTTCAGAATCATCTCCTGCTGCTTCTTATTTACTGCTGAAATTAGAATTCTTCTGTTATTCAGTAATTTAGCATATTTTATTTTCCCTATTTCCTTCTCAATTGCTTTAGTTACCTGAACTGGATGAAAGTGACCTTTATCATTACTAAGCGTAATAATGACTTTCCACTCTTCCTGTTTGTCATCATCAAACCTACTGCTTCCACTAGGTTTAGCTCTGATCTTTTTGATCGTTTGTCTTGGTGTACTCTCTCCTCCACTACTCGCTTCAGACCATGCTTTTTTCCTTGCCTTTTTAGTTTGGTTAACCTCCATATCTGAAGGCCACCCATCATCATCACCATCTGAATCATAACCCATTGCTACACTCACGATACAGTTTGATTACAATCCACCGTCTCTTCCAACGCAAAGTTCAGTCATCCGGTTCCGCCTCTTCCCGTGCCAAACAACAGCGAAGCACTAGTGTGGAAACCGGACCATCATTTCCGGCCCACGGCGCCACGGGATTGGTCAGAATCGTGTCACGTGGAGCGCTATAGCGTTGGTTGGGTACAAATAGTCCTTATACAGTCTATGAAATAGTCCTTTTTCTAACGATGCGATGAACATGATGTGATGTAAAATGTTTGAAGTTTATTGTGTAATATAAAACAGGAGAAAAGCCTATAAGAAAAGCTTATAACCGTGTATATGAGAACATATGTTCAGTATTATGTGATACGAACTCAAAATGACGAGAACGTTATTATTATGAGGCTGTACGGCATTATAAAGATCAAGTGTATCAATATTATTAAATAATTATGTAATAATGACGACTATGATCAAATTTTAACCAGAAGATTTTCCTTCAATCTATCAAGTAAACTTTTTTGAGCCACGGAGCGCCCCCCGTAGGCAAGAGATACTTGTACAGGATAAAATTAGAACTGTGCTGTTTTTTTTCTTTTCTTTTTTTTTTATACATACAGTGGTCACGATATGTATTACACTTAGACAGGTTGCTGCGGGAAATGTTTTACATACAGACATCCAGCTGGAAACATTGTTTCCACAGCGTCCTCATTGTTTTAAAGTTCTGATGTTAGATAACATCCAGTGATGCTGACAAATTGACGTATATTCTGTGATGTCATGATAATCCCAGGGTCATCATGGGACACGTAACGTTACCTTTATACAGCCTATGGTAATTTCTGGATTATATATATATAGTAGTCAACATTTGAAGTGGATCAAAAAAGTTCATCAAAGTTGTATATATATATAAAGTATTAATAACTTGACAAATAGATGTGCATCTATTAACCAATCCATCCGTCTTTCCTTCATATTTCTATGGTTTGTTTATTTATAATATATTGACAATAAATGTTTGTTACATTTATTTTAAAGTTATGTCAATCTGAAAAATTCAGAATCACTGTAACGCTTGTGATTGTCATAATCACAGGTTGCTACAGATCTTACACTAATTTATCTCCATAAAAAGGCCATTCAGGATGAACATCTACAGTAAGCACACATTTTCATGACTGGAAAACAGAAAAGCAAACATGAAAGCCTCTCTACTTGAGTATTATCTTAGTGACACAGAAACGCTGAAAGCTCTACTGTAGATGTAAAGCAGTGTGAGTCATATGTACCAGCATGCACCGCGACAGTCTCTTAACGCACAGGGGTGGGATCATCTGATAGCGCTGAGAAATCCGAATTACTTTAGAGAATCGGTTCGTTTGCATAGTTCACTTGAATGAGCCGGTTCAAAAACCAATTCACAGCTGATTTCTTTTAATCATCGCTCAAGTTAAATATTTATTTAAATACTTTGGTTTATATTTTCAGTGTACAGTTGTGTGCTGTTTATGATTCCACTTCAGTGCTTGGAGGGGATTCACCACCATAAAATTTGTAAAGATAGTAAAATTCTGTCATTTAACGTTACTCACACTTATGTTGTTTCAAACCCCTACGACTTTCTCCTCGTTGAACACACACAAAGATAATGACACCAAAGGACATAATGACGCCAAATTTATTGCAATAACTTACCAAAAATGAACCATCTCACCCCATACTTTCAGACTCCCTAAATTTTTATTTGGAAACACGCCTTTGCATCTTTTTTGACTCTGTAGTTTTATTCTGTGTTCCACGTAAGAAATTTACACAGGTTTGAAACGATAAGATAAACAATCATAGAATTTTCACATGTGACAGAACAGTCCCTTCAAGACGCTCTGAGAGTCGGTTCAGTTGAATCGTGGAAAAGAACCGACCTGCAAGAACGGTTGATTCGCGAATCGAACAGCACCACTGGAGGCGTAACCGTGCAGAACCTGAGTTTAAATCCGCACCCTGCTTTATTTTATCGCATTCATTGAATCTTCCCCGTCTCAGAGCAGCAGCAGCGAGCGTTCACAGCAATGGCCAATTACATTCACGTTCCAGAAGGCGCGCCTATGGTTCCTAAATTAGACGTGACTCTAGATGAGCACGATTACAGAGCCGGAGCCCTGAAACTCATCAAGACGCTGAGACCCCACTGGAAACCCTCGGAGGTCAAAATGAAGGTAATTCTCTTGTCTTTTCTCCTCGCGCACGATTCGGGTGGTCGCACGCCGACCCTACCTGATTCAGAAAGCCTGCATTTACTGACAGCAGCACGTTTGACGCATTATATAATGCAGAAAGCGAAGTTAAGCGTGTTGCGCCTTCAAATCCTGAGCTGCGTCACCAGATGGACCCGTCGGCACCATGGCGCTTAGCAGAAACACAGCAGCCAATGCAAGCTGTCAAAGCACGTATGTTGTAACACTCTCATTCATAAAAATATATTGCTCATGCATGCATGCTTCAATGTATTTAATGCACTAGTACGAGAAAATTACAGCAGCGGTACAAATGGAAAGTAAAACTACAAAGAATGTGGGTGGTGGATCCTTGGATTTTGTGCATTGAATATTTTTTCGTTTATTTATTCCTTTATTCAAATTCGCGTCTGTTTTTATGTTATAGCTATTTAATTAATTACTTTATTAAGTATTCCAATAGTACCTAGTACTTTTTTTAATTAGTACTTATTAGATACTAGTACTAATTCCAAGTAATTACTATGGTTAACAAAATGCAAATTTTGCCTTTAAATTCTACACTGTAAAAAGTGCTAACCTGTAATTGGTACCTTAAAGAGCTATTACTACCTGATTAAATCTGTAAAACTTAGTTTTGTTGGTTTAAATATGTATTTAGGTTGATTGAGCGATATTAAATAAAACCAGTTAATTTAATGGTTACCAATTTATTCAGTGTATGGAGAACTGTTCACTTCCAGCTAGTTTTACAGCAGTTGCTGGTATCTATTATAATTGTACTAGTCATTAGGTGTAGGTACGTAGTTACTAAGGTGTAAGTAATAGTTACTAGTTAAAATATAGTGTCTATTCCAGTTTTTTTTTTGTCATTCACTGTTCTGAGAGATGGACAGGACATATGAATGAAGTATGAGGAAATTTTCTACCTGCATTAGGGCCTCATACAGCATTCCTCATTTCTAAAATGGCTCGAAGTCAATATTTGTGTAGGACAGTCAGTGTCAAGGCATTTGTTTGCTATTCAGTGAAGTTACTATAACACTAATAGGTGTGTGCTTACAGCTGACACAGAAAGACGACTGTGACGTTGACATTACGCTGCTCTGTTCACCCCAGAGCGCTCTGCATTCATACATGATTGATTAACCTGAGATGGGCGGAACCAAGAGTACAGTGGAAGACATCTATACACAAAGCCTAAAAATTCCTTAATGATTGAACAAGGCATTTCGCAGAACTGCCTTTTCCAAGAACAAACATATTTCGCATGACTACTCATTCTTCTAAAAGTTTTCAGCCTTCCTGGACAAGCAGCATTTCATGGAGTTTCTTAGAAACGTAGCATGTACAAAGTCAGTTCCACTAATTACGGAACCTGCATGTATTGACTGTTGACCACGGCGTTAACAATGTTCAATGTGACGGTTCAGGTTTCCGTCGCCTTGGTGTTGTTGAGAACTGTGAAGATAGGAATCTTTTCTTTAGCTGTGCACCTTGAATCGAGTTTTTCAAGTGCGTAGTACTGGCATTGAATCGAATGACCTCTGATTGAGATGGCCGAGTGGAAATTTCCATGAAGTGATTGGTGCTTCATCAATGATTTTCCCAAAGAAATTCACAGCTGAAAAAATTCTGAACAATATCCTAACAACATTGGACAGCATGTTCTTCAAAATATCTTAATTTGTGTTGCACAGATAAAAAAGAAAGTCATACAGGTTTTGGAGTGACATGAAGATGAGTAAATAATGACACAATTTTCATTTTGGGTCCCTTTAAGTTACAAACAAATATGAACTCACTTCCCCATTTCAATGTAAACCCGCACGTCGGAAGCCTCCATCCGGATGAAAAGTCAGCAGTCTGTAATAATATTCTTGTAAACCGAGCACTGTTTAGCCCAAGTTGCGGAACAGTGTATCCTTACAGGTATACAGTAACAGAGTTGGTAGGGGTGTGTCACGTCTCGCATGTGGGTGGGAAACTAGATATGTATTGGGTTGTTTTCGTCAACTTTGAAACAAAATTGAGTGCTCAGCACATGCCAGACCACCCTGACGTTCCGCCTACTGCCCGTCAATCCCAGATAGTACAGATTATTGTGGCCTGGAATGCTTGGCGTCCCAAACACGCTCCATTTTTACATTAGTAGACAATGTAAATTTGTTCAGCTCTGTCACCCTGAATACACCAACACTTTTGAGTCTAAATAAACTAAAAGTAATTTAGTTGTTTTGGTTACACCGAGTTTGGTGATCAATCTTTTTTGTATACATGTAAATAAGAGGTTTCTCTTCAGCTGAGAAACCGAAAAGGAACTCGAAGCATGTGATGCTGATCTCACAAAGAGTTTTTTTAATGAACATCACTAAAGGTTAACCTCAAACCATCTGAGCGAGTGTTTTTTTTTCTTCCTCTTTCTGCAGTCTTTCACTGACGGCATCACGAACAAGCTGATTGGCTGTTACGTCGGCGGGTCCATGCAGGATGTGGTCCTGGTTCGGGTCTACGGGAACAAGACAGAACTGTTTGTGGACCGTGAGAACGAAGTGAAGAGCTTCCGTGTCCTGCAGGCGCACCGATGTGCTCCACGCCTCTACTGCACCTTCAACAACGGCCTGTGCTATGAGTTCCTGCAGGGAGTGGCCCTGGAGCCCGAGCACATCCGCAGCCCTGCCATCTTCAGGTGAGAAACTGCGTGTTCGAATCCAATCATCCTTTATAATACTGAGCTAATTGATTCAGGACGGCGTGACGGAGATGGAGACACTGGCGCTGACCTCCAGCTAGCCAGACACTTGTCACATAACCCCAAACCTTACCCAGTAATCCCTTAAGACATGAATGACACACTGCACTCTCTCTCTCTCTCGCACGCTGACCCAGGCCTCCCGCCAATGCTTGTCGGGTCTCAGACAGCTGTGAAAGAACAAGGCTACTGTGTTAGCAGGGCGATGACTAAAGTGTTGGCGTTTAAATGCATTACCGTTCAAAAGTTTGGGGTAAAAAATGAATACTTTTATTCAGCAAGGATTCATTAAATTGAGCAAAATTGACAGCAAAGACATTTATATTTCAAATAAATATCATTCTTTGGAACTGTTTTTCACATATATATATAATAATAAGATATGTTTCTTGAGCACCAAACCAGCATATTAGAACGATTTCTGAAGGATCATGTGACACTGAAGACTGGAGTAATGATGCTGAAAATTCAACTATGCCATCACAGGAATAAATTACATTTAAAATATGTTCTAATATAAAACAGTTTGTAGTAATATTTCACATTATTACTGTTTTTACTATATTTGTGATCAAATAAATGCAGCCTTGGTGAGAATAAGTGACTTATTTAAAAAATGTGTTAAAAGATCCCAAACTTTTGAACCGTATATATTACATACTGTAGGGCCACAATAACACAATAAAATTAAAATTAAAATAAGCCATTTTTATATGTTTACAGGCACATTGCGAGGCAGATGGCAAAATACCATGCCATACATGCCCACAATGGCTGGGTGCCCCAATCAGACCTCTGGCTGAGGATAAGCAAGTTCTTTTCTCTTGTTCCTACACACTTTGATGACCCTGAGAAGGACCAGAGGTGAGCGGTTTGTAAAGCCGTATATGGTATAATTGTGTTTTGACGTTTTTTAAGCAAAGCAGAACATGTAGAGTAACACACCCTTTAGGTATAATGTCTCTGGGCGATATTGAAGCTGTCAATACAAGGAGGTTCAGATCTCAGCTTCACTTGCTGTGACGTACAGAAAGTACTTCGGGTTCTTTAGATGTATGACATTTCTCATGTTTTTTCTTCTTCTCCCAATATGCTTTGCTTACATTGTGGTTTGAAAATCCTCCCAATGTTACAATGTTAGATGACATGACTCATCGTGGCACAGACAAATGTGTTTGTACAGATGCGAGCTGAGAACAGGATGCATTAAGAACAATGTCTATTTTGTTTTGTTTTTTACTTCTACAAATGATTGAAGAGCAGAAATACTCTTTAATAATAATCTTTTTATAATGTAACATCTTTTAAAATTAGATTCTCAAGGTGCTTTATATAAGATGACAGTAATCCATATTAAAATATAATAAAGACTTATTTATAGAATAATATGAACACGAATATCAAAAGTAAGATATTATTATTAAAGGAGTAGTTCACTTCCAGATCAAAAATGTTAAGATAATGTACCCCCTTGTCATCCAAGATGTCTTTCTTTTTTCAGTCGTAAAGAAATTGTTTTTTGAGGAAAACATTTCAGGATTTCTCTCCATATATTGGACTTCTATGGTGCCCCCGAGTTTGAACTACCAAAATGCAGTTTAAATGCAGCTTCAAACGTCTCTAAACGATCCCAGCCGAGGAAGAAGGGTCTTATCTAGCGAAACGATCGGTTATTTTCTAAAAAAAAATCATGGCAGTTAGGGTATGTCGAAAAACTCCCATCTCATTTTCTCCTCCAACTTCAAAATCGTCCTACAACACTGCAGAAGTACCGACCCAGTGTTTACAAAGTGAACATGCAGAGAAGATCAAACGGTCTTTACAAAAAAAAGGTAAAACCGCGATGTAGGACGATTTTGAATTTTTAAATATATATATATATACATACACACACACACACACACACAATCAAATACCCATGAAATATCTGTTGACAAATCATTGCAGATACAACTGAATTTGTACATTGTCTGAAGGAAATGTGAGTGCTTGTACATGTACATGCAAAACTGGGACATGGGAGTGTTTTTTTGCTGTGTGGGTTGCAAGAGTGTTTGTCCATGTCTGAGCAAAAGTAATAGTTCAGGTATGTTTGAATTTACAGTTGGATTAGAAGTGTATTATTTTTACGCCTTAGAGACAACAAAAGTTAGTGCGCAACAAGCGCTGACAACAAATTACAGTGTCTCTGCAGTTCAGTTACTATTTATAGATAGTGGTTTTTAAGATGTTTATCTTATTGAGTGAGGCAGGTTTGTGTACAGCGTGCCTTATTTGAATCACGCTGGAACACAAAAGTATGTTTGTGTTTTCTGAATGCATGATGTACGTGTCGTCTGTTTCCAGGCTGAACAGTGAGGTGCCCAGCACCGCGTGTCTTAGAGACGAGATGATCTGGCTTCAGCAGAACCTTTCTAAACTGGGTTCCCCAGTCGTTCTGTGTCACAACGATCTGCTCTGTAAGAACATCATCTACAACCAACAGGAAGGTGAGTCCAACAAACCCCACCAGCTTCCTTCAGCCACAGCGTATGTTTCCCCAACCCCCCCTGCCTAAGGTAGGCTTAAATTTAGTGTTTTCACCTCTAAAATATAGTATGGATGCCCTTTTCTAAAGGGGAGTAAAATTAGTCTCATCCAATTTCATCAAGGCATCAGGAGAATCCACTGGTTTCCATAAAATGTGTTTTCTGTTCTTGAAATCAAAAGCAAATGTGTGTTTGTGTTTGCTTTGGGGAATATTGTTGAATGCTGTGATGCTGTTTACTATCTTCATGATGTACAGACCGGCGACTGTCTGCTGCTACCTGACCCACAGGATGGAGAGTGAATGCGAATGTGACCCGAGTCATTCCTGTTATGCACCACGTTTTCAGTTCTTTCCTTTCTGCAAATATATTTATGAAATAAGGAAGTATTTCTATAAAACACAGTATCAGACTTTCATAAATATGCCTAGCTCAGGCTAAGGCACTTCAGCTTTATTTATACAATGACAAGAAAATAACAGGAAGGAAATTTAAAGCTTAATTTGAATAAAAGTCATTTGATATTTTTGAAATTTTAGTAATACAGTGTTTACTTGCAACATGTAAATTAGACTAAGAGAATTACATATATATTAGAATTGAAAATTTATAAATATACACATTTTAATAAAATATTGTAATTGTAAATATTTTTAATTTGTCATTTTTACTTAATTTCTCTTATATATAATTATATATTTGTTATGAATTATTTGGATGTATAGATTGTTGGTATATATTATACTGTAGTTTTAATTTTTTTTTAATTCTAAATTTAGAAATTTATAAATATATAAATTTTAATAAAATAATCTAATTGTAAATATTTTTAATTTGTCATTTTTATTTAATAATTTCTCTTTGGTTTGAGTGGATGTTGACATTTTTGTCATGTTCTCAGGTACCAAACCCAATAAAGTACAATATTTTTATATAATAAATTATATTTATAAATAATATAATGAATAAAGAACTATATATTTGTTATATTAATTATTTAGATATATAGATTTTTGGTATATATTATACTGTAGTTGTTATTTAAAAATGTATAAATAAATAAACACACACACACACGTGCACGCACACTTACACGCACACTTACATTATTAAATATAATTCACCCTGTCTTAAAAATGTCACCCTGAAATGACCCACTTGGAAGAGTATGAGCATGAGAAAATGGCTGCTCTGCCACAGCAGTAGTGTGAGAATGTGTAGTTCCTGTCTCTCACTTTTTTTTCTTTTCTTTTTTTTTTAAAGTGGCAGCAACAGTCAGCACGTATCGGTTGCCCTAAAGGTATCACATGCCCCTAAAAACTGTTCTTGAAGCAGTAAATAATTCACCACGAGCGATTAGAGATGTGGTCATGGAAATCTGCTTGGAGAACAGGGTTTGGAGGCAGCTGCGACCTTGGGCACTTGTTTGTATTTGAACTTAGAGAGAGGAAGGAGGCTCTGTTTTCAGAAAAAAAGCCAAGCCACTTCCTCCAACTCGCTTTTAACACACAGACCAAGGGGCGGGAGGAAGTTTTCACAGTAAAATGTTTATGCTCTCTCGGCCCCCTCCCCTTCACGGCGAGACCTATAGAAACCAAGAACGGGAGTGTTGCGCAATAGGCCTTGTACTTGTTTTTGTTTTACTTGCCTTTCGTTGACACTCAGGGAGTCGAATAAGTTTGAGAGTCCCACAGGCTTGACCTGCACAGGAAGCCGCCGTGGCGTTTGCATAGAGCCAGTAACTTGGGGCCTCATTGGCTGGCTAATGGACCAATGGGGATGCTGTGTGGTGGGGGTGTGCGTTTATGAGATGAGCCGTGTTTGTTCTTAACGGGGGGAGGTGCCCAGTGGCCTCTCTGCAGTGAAGCTGTGTGTGTTCTGTGACAGATGTGAGTTTGCCCAAATCTCTTCATCTGCTGCACAGGGCTATAGCCACTGACTGGAGGTGTTCAGTGTGTCCCGCTAGGATGCCACCGGGTCCGGTAACCACCTCACGTGTCTCTTTCTGTAGACCAACACCTCTGTCCAATGTCAATTACATATATATATATTTTTTTTTTTACACACCATAAGCTCTAGAGCACTGGGAATGCAAGGCAACGTAAAGTCAAACACACTTTACTTGCAATAATGTTACATATAACAAACTAGGCAGTGATTAATGAATAATGCATTACACATATGTAGACTGAGAGGAGTAAGGCTTTGTATTCTGAAGTCAACACCGTCTACATCACCTGACCGATCAAGTCCATTGCTTGCTAGACCACTGCTATACAGACTATGTGCCACTAGGTGGCAACGTTGCCCATTTTCTCTCCTTTAACTCCTCTGTCCTTCCAGCCCTGTGGTTTTACAGTACAGCCGTCTCCGTTTTTTTTTATTTCCATTGATTTATTTGCATTTTCTAAAGCTGTAAACTCTTGTCTAACCTGACTTGTTTATCCATTTTTTTGTTCTCGCTTTTATTTGACTCTCTCTTTACTTTTACTGTTGTGTTTCCTCCTGTAGAGCAGAAGACTGTTTACGCGAGGTGCTCTTTCTTTCACCAGTCACGAGATTTCCTGGAAAACTTGCAATAACTTTGCCCACTCGCTAAATCATTTGTATTCAAGCAGAAATCATTGTTTGTTTTAAGCGGAAATATTCTCAAATTAATAAATAAATACAAATAAATCCACATTTCCCTTTAAAAATAAAATAAAACAAAAAGTTGCAAGTTTTCCACTATTCTTCTCAGACTCATGTAAACGGTGATTCATCAATTAGATAAACTTTTTAAATTAATAACAGATAATCATAGTTTTTATATTATTATTATTATTATTATTACTATCATTATTATTTATATTATAAAAACTTAAAAATGTATTATGTTTTTAATAGTTTGTTTCTAATTTAAGAGTGTTGAAATATTGCACTTTCCAGAATATAGAATCAATTTCACTTACCCCTACACTTAAACCTTTATAATAAATTATTGAAAAGTGTTAAAATCAGGGAAATTTATTTTGTGTGTTTTTTTTTTAAATGATACAATTATTAATGTTCATATTTTGTTATGATTGAAATGATACATGATGGGGTATAAGCATGGATATAATGAACATCAAAAATATTATAAAGATTGTTGCATCATGATCTGAGAGTAGCTTCTTTGACATCATTGCCAAAATGGTCAGTATTTTTATTCAGAAACATTATCATTTCAAAAGTTAATTTAGCGCAACTGTTTGTCAAAAACATGAAATAAAATCATTACCATTGCACACAGATGATCAGGTCAGGAAAAATACTTTAAATGAAATGAAACCGTCTGAAAAAATTTCATTTTTCAAAGTGACCCTAATTGAAGAATCACCTAAATATAACATGCGTTTTTTTCCACAATGCATGCTATAAGTGCATGAAATCTGTCCCCATGTCTTGTTCACTTTGTCATTTGTTTATGCTTTCTTGTCTTGCACCAGAATGCAAATCCTTACTCCTTTTCCCAGATGTAATTTGAGAAGTCATTTAAATTGCAGATAATGCCCATGTAGTGTTGGTTTGCTAATACAGACATTAGATTGTAACAGTAAAAAAGAACAAGGGTTATTAAGAAGACGATGCCCGTGTGCTTTTCTAAACAAATTGCTATTTGTTCCCCTCCTGCAGGAAATGTCAAATTCATTGACTACGAATATGCTGGGTACAATTATCAAGCCTTTGACATTGGGAATCACTTCAATGAATTTGCAGGTAATGTGACACGAACACAAATTAAGCTATTGTATAGAAGAGAAAAGAACCTGCTTAACCAGGTGCGTGTGGCCTTCTTGTGATTGACAGGTCTGAATGAGGTGGACTACACCCTGTATCCTGGGCGAGAGCTCCAGTTGCAGTGGCTCCGGGCCTATCTGGAGGCCTACGAGGAGTACAAATCACAGGGCACACAGGTCTCCAACACTGAAGTGGAGGTGCTGTATGTGCAAGTCAACCGCTTTGCCTTGGTGAGTCGAAACTGGATTTATCTGCCACGGTCTGGAATCGTGACGCATTTCGATCCATCTGCACCCTGCCAAATTAAACATCAGACGTTTGTTTTTTCAATGTAATTACTGTCTTTAATGACATGCAGCATTTTGCAAAGTAAACTGGAACAACGTGAGCAGTTTAACTATTTAGCAGATAGATCGTCTGCATTAGAGCGAGCTTGAAGTGGAGACAAAGGTATGAATAGTGATTGCAAGTTGTCAGAGAAGGAGCCTTGACATCCTGCCCATCTTTGCAAGCGTCTAATGAGAGGACCTCGGGGTGTTTGTGTGCGTTCGCAGGTCATTCTTTGACGATCGAGTAGCACAACCTGCTCTTTCTTGATGATGATATTTACTTCGGAGAGGAAAGCTAATTTAATATCCGGTTTACTCTCGCGGTTTAGTCTTTTTTGACCAATAGACGTGTTCAAAGTAGGGCAGACATTTTTTGATTTCCAGTTTGTCAGGGGAAGAAGGAAAAAAAAAAACACAAAGAGAAAAAAAAATCAAGCTCTGGCTTTCAGATATGGTGAACAAAACTGTGGGAGGGTCCGTTTTCTCTCCTGTCCCTGAGAGGGACCTTGAGAGACGCTAAAACAAATGCCTGAGGAATGCCATAGTGTGAGGCTTAATGAATGTGATTTGTTGCCTTCGTTTTGGATTCCTTTTTCTGCGGCCTTAAAGGGTTAGTTCAGTCAAAAATAAAAATTAGGCTGTGTTTTACTCACCCCCGATGCATCCTAGGTGTATATGACTTTCTTCTTTCAGACGAATCCAGTCTGAGTTATATTAAAAATTGTCTTTGATCTTTCAAGCTCTATCATTGTACTCAGCGAGCGTTGCATTCCTTCTGTCCAAAAGACACAGCCTAATTTTTATTTTTGGGTGAACTAACCCTTTAATTAACAGCCAGAGAAAACTGAATAGCGCTGAAATTTTTTTACTATATTAATCAGAATATGAGCATATTCTGATTAAGTAAGTGTCATGTTAATGCACTAACCTGCCATAAACAGATTAAGCCAATATTACGGTTTCTAGAAATCTAAGGCAGCTGTCTTATGCTTTTAATAATCAGAATTTTGTATTCTGGTTATTCATTTATATCTGTCTATTATATAATTTAGATGATATCAAACAAAGGCAATTCTGAATAATATTGGATACAGCTGCGAAAAAGTTACAAAGAGGAAATCAATAGAAAACTGCAAAAAAAAAATTTATTTGTATGCTTTGTACACCACCTTTCAAAAGTTTGGTCAGTAAGATGTTTTTTTTTTTTTTTTTTTTTTTTTTAGAAAAATTAATACTTTTATTCAGCAAGGATGCATAAAATTGATCAAAAGTGACATTAAAGACTTTCTGTTTATCAAAGTGTTTTCACAAAAATATGTTTTCAACATTGTATTAATTAAGAAATGTTTCTTGAGCACCAAATCAGCATATTAGAATGATTTCTGAAGGATCATGTGACACTGAAGACTAGAGTAATGATGCTGAAAATACAGCTTTACTATCACAGGAGTGAATTACATTATATAATTATTATTTAATGGTATAGTATATATTATGTAGTGAAATAGAATACAGTTATTTTAAATTAAAATAATATTTCACAACAGTGTTTTTGATTAAATAAATGCATCCTTCAAAAACATTAGAAAGTCTTACCAAACCCACATTTTTGAACAGTAGTGTATTTTAAATGAATTTATAACTATATAAAATAATAATTTAATTGAGTTTATTTAACCAATATTTCCAAATAATATCTATACATTCTAAGGACTTTTTATTTTAGATAGACGTGGGTGTGTGGCGCCCATTGAAGCTCTGCTTTATGTCGTCACCCTGATGTTTGCACACCATCTTCACATGCCTAAGCCAGGAGACACAGAGTTTTATAAAAGATGGTCTGAATATACTCCGAGATTGTGTCTGAGGGGGATCGGGACCCTTGACTCTGGCAGAGGCAAACATTTATTCTGTGCAGTTGAGCGAAAAACACAGAGGATAGAGACTTTATTATAGGCCAGCAAACCCGTGATCTTTACTCACATGATGGCAGGAGTGATTCGGTCTCATCAGAGGGCTTTAATAGAAATGCCACATTTTATAAGCTTTTACTTCACTGTCAGTGATCCAGAATCAACACAAATAACTTCCATGCAGTTATCTTTTTTCCTTTTTTAATGGGTCCACTAAAAGGAAGCCGTCTTTGCTTAGAAAGGCGTGGGTCAAATGTTTCCAAGCAACAATACAACATACAATCTGTCACAGTTAACTTCAGTGTCAGGGTGAATCTCACAAAGCCTGTCAGGAATATTCCTTAGTCCTGTTTTACCCTGAAATCAAAATAGAAAAGAAAGAAAACCTGTGTTTATTAAATGAAGTCTGTTTTTGTGAACAATAAGATTTGTGCATTGAAACATTGTTTTTATAACAGTTAAACATCCGCCATCTCTTGTCAGTTGTGTAAGGCAGATTTTCATTAATGTAATGGGAAGTTTGGGAACAAATTATATATTAATAGATCATTTGAAATATTAATACATGATGTTATTATTTGTTGTACTGAATTTAAATGACACTGATTCAAATAAAAATAAACATGTCTGGTTTTGAGGATAGATTTTCATATTGTTTATTTATTAATTTATACAAATCTTCCAGGTACTGAAAATAGGCTTCTCTGTTTTAAAGTAAAATATTCATGTCATATTCATATGACTTTGTGTTAATTTTATGTACTTTTATAGTATTTATTAATACTTTGAAATAGCTTTTATTTTTATAATTTTAGTTTGTTTTAGTTCAATTTTATGCATTGTCATTTTTATTAGTATTTTATTTAAATATTTTTATTTAGCTTTATTTTATTTCAGTTTAATCATTTTAATATTTATTTTTAAAGTTGATGGTTTTTAAGTTTTTATAATGATATTTTATATTTAAATGTATTTTATATTTATTTTATAAAATGTATCTTATTTAATATTTAATTTTTATTTCAGCTCAATTTTAATTAATAAAAAAAAATACAAGTCTTATTTAACAATGAAAACTCTAATATGAATATAATTATAGTTACATATCATTTTTTTCTTCTTCTTTTGATTTTGGGATACAGTATGAATTAAGTTTTTTATATATTTACTCCTCAATACCCTGATATCTTCCTCTGTGAAAAAGTCAATAAAAATGTAAAGCTATCCTCATTTTTCCTCATGGTCTTTGGTTTTTGTTCTCCCCAGGCATCTCATTTCATTTGGGGACTGTGGGCATTGATCCAAGCTCAGTACTCCACCATTGACTTTGACTTCTTGGGGTACGTTTTCACATTTCAACAACAACATCCATATAATCAAGATTTCAACGATGTATTCTCATTCTTGGCCACCAAATTTGCTTCTGCAGATATGCAGTTCTCCGTTTCAGCCAATACTTCAAGATGAAACCAGAGGTGATGTCACTGCACCTTCCAGAATAATCTCTCAGGTCTTGGCTTGCGCTACTCCAGAGAAGGGCTCCCCCTGGTGGACACAAGAACTAGCTGGAGACCTCTTCAGTTTGTAGACTGAACACTGCACTTACTTGTCTGAACACATCATTTTAGATAAGCCCCAAATCACCTCTGAACTCAATGCTGGTTTAGCGTTGTAGAAAACCAAGCACCTAAGCCCTCCTCCTCGCTTTTATGTGGCGGTCGAGAGAGAGGCTCACCCCAGTGCCCTAGTCCATTTTCAGTGAAGTGAAATTGCCAATTGAGGAAGCAAACAACTCGTATAGATGGCTTACTCTAGAGCCTCGACTTGCCAATGTATGTTAAGAGAAGCCCTGAAGAATCTCAAATTAAGAAAAGCTCCCCAGATACCGATCCTCCAAGGACAGGGAACCTCTGACAACAATTATTATCTGAAGACAGAGAGGAGGGCCGCTGGGTCTGTTTTCAGCGACTAACTGTCATCCTAAAGGTCATTCCTGCTTGTTTACACAACTTTGAATGGGAGAAATCAGTGTACTGTAAGATAATGTAGGGTTTACTGTATGGATAGTCACTGATTCTGTCTAAACAGTGAACTTTGGGCCTGTCTGTTCCTACGAGGGTTGTTCCTGGCACAGCTGCATTAAGATGTGTAATTTAGGGACCAATAGAAGCTTCGTTGTTCGTTTCTGGCAGACGATTCCTCCCTCGTCCTGTCACTGTGAACCACTATGTAGCGCATTCATAAAGTTTCTCATTGTTTTCTCAGCGTGGTGCTTGGAGAAAGTAGACGCACAGTAGCCGTTTCTACAACGAGCCGGTAGCTAATCTGAAGCCCACACCAAAGTGCTGATATTTCTTGCTTGTACATTATGCACAGTGTATTTTTTCACGGTAGAAATAACATGTGGTAATATTTACATTTTGAACGGTGGTTTTTGTACTTATTTAAATGGCGCTGTTAAAGAGGTCACTCGTGTGCTTTTTCTGGGAGGTATCGGTGAAATTTTTGTAATGGATGTATTTCCTGGAAGCTTTAACGACGGTATCGCCTGCTGGACGCACTAAAGCTTTTGTATTCGTAACCCCTGTCCGCATAGCTAAATTACAGGCCTTTTTGCACAAACTCTGATTGCTTTAAGAACAAAATCAGTCCTCCGTTCACCTTGCAATGGGCCGCTCTTTCTGCTTAAGACTAGTTTTAAGTGCACATGGTGGGAGATTTTTGGTAATGCTTTTAATTTTGCAGGGTCCCTGTTACTAAATTAACTGTTATAGTGAAAACAATTTATGTGTAACCAAGTTACACAGTAATGGCGTAGTAGTTTATTAATCAGATATCTTACTCAGAACCAAGGTCAGAAATGAATCTGAACTTTGAAATGGACAAAAATGCCCTAGAAATGTTAAATGTAAGGGCAAATAATGTCCTTGTGTAAATTATATATATATATATATTATCTGTTATACCACTGTTCAGAAGTTTGGAGTCAATTCGATTTATTTTATTTATTTATTTTTGAAGGAAATTAATACTTTTATTCAGTTAATACTTTTTATTCATCAAAGAATCCTGAAAAAGTATCAGTTTCCACCAAAATATTAAGCATCACAACTGGGTGTAACATTAATAATAAGAAGAAATGTTTTTTGAGCACCAAATTATTATATTAGACTTATTTCTGAAGTTTCATATGACACTGAAGACTGCAGTAATGGCTGCTGAAAATTCAACTTTGCCATAAAAGGAATAAATAACATTTTAAAATACTTAAAAATTGAAAACTTTTTTTGGACAAATGAATGCAGCCTTGGTGAGATTAAGAGACTTCTTTAAAAAATATTAGAAAGTCTTACTGACCCCAAACTTTTGAACATTTAATTTCTTTTTTTTAATTTTTTTTTTTAGGGCTGATCTAATTTTGTGTTTAGACACTATAGTTACCACTTAAACCAATTGATTCATTTAAATTATTTGACATAAAATATCTTAGAGAACAAGATAAAATATGCCACTGAAATCAATTCCACTTAGTTTCTGTTGCTGCTCAATACACATGAGCAATGTATTATAAACTGTGACCAAGATTTGTTTTTTTCTAAGAAGTTTTCTGGTGCAAACCTCAGCTCTGAGACTTGCCTTCGCACCGCCTGGCTACCCTCATTTACCTCAATTTCCTGTGTCAGTTTGCCTATACTACAAACAACCATATACAATTCTGTAAATACTAGAAACTGTGAATTTCTGGTTGTTTTATTGTATTTTGACATATGCTTCTTTTTCTATGCCAGTTCTTTTGTAACTGTCAAGCTTGCACTTTGATCACGTTTTTGAACGGTCAAAGACCACACAGAATGCTACATTTGACTTTTTACTTTATTTCTTTTTTTGTTCTTTTACACCAGAAATGTTCATCAAACAATAGTAGTGGGAAATTTCTCTCTTTTAACAGTCTGTGAAGATTAACTGATTTCTTCGCACTCTTTAGCATTTACATAAACCTGAAAGTGATGGGTGGTTCCAACTTTCAGCCAATGAAGTGCTTCTGGTGAACATAAGATGTACAGGACTGCCTCATGCAAGCATCTGCTGGTGGTTTTTAGTGTAGGTGTATATGTACAACTGTAAACAAACTGTAAAAGAAAATCTTTGCTTATTATTAAACAATGTCTGTTGTCAATAACTGAACAGAGATATTCTTTTTCTAAGAACTGTTGGATTTAATAATAATCTGGGGATGAAATCCTGAAGTGTTGCATTGTAGATTCTGTATCAAAATCTTTGAATAGTAATAAAATTAAACAAATTATATTTGCCCCATTTTCTTGTCTTGATTTCTTGTCCTATTCTGCTTAAAAAAAGAGATTGTGTCATTAAAAAAAACATTTTTATGCAATTTGCCTATACTTGATCTGTAATATGTGCATACAGAGCTCAATATGTTTAACCCTCATGTTGTAATGTATAATAATGTATTACAAGGCACATTATGAATTATAATGCATATGCATTAATACCATTTAATAGCCCATTTTAATGCATTATACATAAAGGCTTTAAGTAAAGTGTTACCAAAATTGCTTCTAAATTTCTCATTATGATATATATTATTACCAAATATTGGATTTAATTTTTTATCAGCTTGTTTTCTTTCAATTAGGACTGGTTGGAACTGACTGATCGTAGGCCTCATTGATCTGAGCCTATGCACCTCAGTTTTTTTTTAGTTTTTTTTTTACAAATGTTGATTTTATTCTCTCAAAAACTAAGGTGCATAAACTCAGGCCTGCAATCAATCAGTTCCAAAAGGACATATAAAAGCTGTGCTAACTGAAGGAAAACAAGTTCACAAAAAGATACAGTCCAAGATTTGGTTATAATATACCATAATGAGAGATTTACAAGCAATTTATAAAAGCTCGGTCATTTTGGACTGGGAACACCAAATTAGGTAAAGGATTTTTTAGCACAGCACAATGTTACAATGAGTAATGGATTAAGCCACTATTTTTTGTTCACAAAAGTAGTTAACGGCAGTGAATGGGGAAAAAAAGCATGCCTGCATTTTATGCTACAGAGTGTTTCAGAAAGAAATAATTATAACAGCGCTCCAGTTCAGACTGTAATTGAATTATATCCAGTCCCTCCAGCGACTTCCACCAAGAGCTCTGCATTAATTACCAAATTCAATATCCGTATTGACGCCTCAACTTATTTCCATTTTACAAAGGTCAAATTACAAACAATTGTCTGAAATAATTACAAGTGCCGAGACGCAAACATATCGAGATATTAGGACAATTCTTGTGCCTCATTTACATACAATAATGTGAGCAAAAACATAACACGCCTAAAAGTTTGTTCCCTACACGTTTTCATCATTAAAAGCAAGATGCATCGAACAAAAAGCCCATGCATGCTGCACGCATCTATTCATGCCTCTGCTTTTTTCCACAACAGGTGGTAGACATGGACTAAATGACTGAAAAAGCTTAAAAGCAGCTGAAGGCAGAACGGACCAGACAAAGCTCGCATTCACAGCATCTCTTTTAACACACCGCAGGAGGGTGTAATAAAGCAATACGCAGCTATGGGAGCGTGTCTCATAGAGACAAGGTCATGATAATACGGTTTGAGGAATAAAGATGTAAAAGCCGCTGGGTTTGTGAGCCACAAACAATGTGCAGTGGGTCAGGGCATTCATTCATCTTGATTAGATGTGCCAACCTAATTACAAGCAGAGGAAACAATAATTAGCACAAGTCTCACCTCGTTAATCACAAAAGACTTCAGTCTATTTTTATCTGATTAATGGCTCTTTAAACATGGGGGGGGGATATTTATATTTGGGGTAATTGTACTCAGCTTGCTCGATCTAGTTTTATTTCACTGTAACCTCATTAGTTTTCATTGTTTAATGTAAGCTCTTGTCGTAGCTAATGTGTGTATCTTCACAATGAGATGACTGTAATAAACTGCAAGGCTGATCTGATGTTTTCGAGGGTAGTAATGAAGACTTTTGTTTATGGCTAGCAGCATTTGTATATACACGTCAAAAGAGGGCTGTGTCAATGCAAAATCATATTGTGTGCATTATATATATATACCCAGCTGATTAAGTACATTAAGACAGTTGTTTTGTATTACACGTTTTCTGAATTGGTATGTTTAAATATTTCTAGAACAGAATTCTGAACCTAAATGAAGACAGGTTCAAAGTTCTTGTTTCGTGTTATTTACATTCATTTTTTTTTTTTTCACAGGATGGATCTTAGAGATCTGGATCTATAACTGGAACATTTGAGAAAACAAAGATATTGTTTGAAAGAATTGAAATCTACAGATGCAATTAGATAAAAGTGTAATAAACACTTGAATGTGTATTTCTTTCCACTAGACTAAAAGAAGACATGTTATCGAATCAAAATAGCCCAAAATCTCAAAATTGCCAATGAAAGTAGACGAAAAAACAATGGTTTTGCCTGTAGTATTTTGCCTTTAAACAGCAACTAACACCAAGTCTGCAGCATCAAAAAGGTGTAAATGCTTTAAAGGGACAGTATATAAAAAATAAATAAATAAATACAAAAAACCCAACAACAACATTTAGTCAGCCTCTTGTCTGCTTTATTTCTTCTGTGCAACATAAAAAGTGGTATTGTGAAGAATGTTTCTGATTTTGACCATACAATGAAAGTCAATGGGGTCAAACAATCATTTTTGGATCCCATTTACTTTCATTGTATGGGGAAAAAACACTGAGACATTTTCAAAATACCTTCTATAAGTCATGCATGTATGCAACAGCATGATAGATAATGACAGAAATTTCATTTTCAGCTGAACTATCCCTTTAAATGAATGTGGGTTGATCCTATCCAGGTGCATTTTGACAAATTATTTTCATCCAAGCACTCTGTGTTAGACTTATCCATGCTGTGTTCCTTTTATAGAGGAGTCATTGTTGAAACAGATTCAGATTCAACTAAATAAGCCATTGTACAATGAAAGATTGCAGCGGAGAAACATCTGGCAACAGCAGGCCGCTGGAGTGTTTGTCTACAGATGTGGAACAATTCCAGCTCAGATTTACAACAAAGACTACATGCAATATGCGGCATAATGGCCTGGATCAAAGCCCCAAATTGAGGAGCTAAAGATCGCGAATCAGATTAACGACTCGGAGAGCTAAAGATATTCCCTCAGATTAACGGCGATGACTAGAGCGGATAATAACAATAGACGGGTGAGCGGACTAAGAAGAGAAAAACGAGCTATCATGACAGAGGGGTTGACAGACTCAAACGCTTTACATCCCACAATCCCTGAGGATCAAACGGGCTTTGTATCAGCGCGCAGCTCGGCACTTAACTCTTACGAAACTCTTTCCAAAACTAATCTTGCCGTTGCTTTTCACTGAGCAAATCCTGACTGTGATAGTGTTGTTACAGGCCTGCTGTCTGTAGAACAAAAATGATGGAGTGAACGCCATTGTCACAACTCAAAGAAGCAGCCAATCAGTTTCTGACAATGTCAGTGTTCAGTTAAGCACTGTCGACAATGGGAAGCTGCCTGTGTGGTCCACACAAAATGACTTTGTGAGGTCTCCATAGAATTACTGTTGTTATTAATAGTTAAGTCAATTCATAAAGTTGTACTTGCATTATACTGTACACAGTATTACTGAAGCATTATTAACACTACATATGTGGACCAACTGACTTGGCCTAGTGTTTTCATTTCTATGACATTATCA